ATTCATTCAGCCGTTTTTTTGTGAGCGTTGGTTGAACAAAAAGTTATTGGTTTATTTGAAAAATTGAAAAAACAGAGTTTCGAGCGGTGATAAAACATTTTCATTTGATAGGCCTTACACCAAAAGAAATCACAGTTGAGTTGAACGTTGTTCATGGCAAGTCTGCGCCTGTGTTTAAGACTGTTTATAACTGGGTAAATGAATTTAAACGCTGCCGTACAACAACAAATGATGAACCTCGTTCAGGACGCCCCGTAGAAGTGAGTACGCCCGAAATGGTCAACAAAATCTATGATATGATGTTGAGTGATAGAAGATTAAAATTGCGAGAAATAGTTGAGGCCACAGGGATATCAAAGGGTACCATCATTTCAATTTTGCATGAAAAATTGGGGATGAAAAAAATATCAGCAAGATGGCTGCCGCGTTTGCTCACTATTGAAAACAAACGAACCCGCGTGGTCACCTCTGAGTCTCTTTTGGCACGCATACGTCGTAATCCGGAAGACTTTTGGCATCGAGTCGTAACTGTAGACGAAACATGGGTACACGCCTACACTCCTAAAACCAAAGAACAGTTCAAATAATGGATTACCGCAGGAGAACCAGCCCCAAAGAAGGCAAGGACAGTAAAGTCAGCTGACAAGATTATGGCCACGGTTTTCTGGGATGCGCATGGAATTATCTACATCGACTACTTGGAAAAGGGCCAGACGATCACTGTACAATATTATGCGTCATTATTAGGTTAGCTGATTATTAGTTATTATATTAATATTAATATTAATATTAATTAATTAATTAATATTAATTAACTAATATTAATAATAACTAATTATTAATATTAGTTATTACTAATATTAATAACCAGATTATTATTAGTTCTTATTTTTTTATTAGAAAAAATCCAAGAAAAACGTCCTCACTTGAACAAAAAAAATGGCTCTATCTTCAAGACAATGTTCGAGTTCACACGTGTGCAGTTTCGATGGCAAAAATTACCGATTAAAGTTCGAATTAATTGACCATCCACCATATTCGCCTGACTTGGCTCCCAGTGACTTTTTCTTATTTCCTAATCTCAAAAAATAGCTTGCCGGACAACGATTCACGTCGAATGAAGAAGTCATCGCCGAAACAAATGCCTATTTTAAGGGTTTTCAAAAATCATATTTTTTTGATGGCTTAAGAAAACTGAAAGGCCGTTTAATAAAATGTAGCGACCTTCAAGGAGATTATGTTAAAAAATAAAAAAAAATTATATACGCAAAACTTTTTTTTCCTTCTTTTTGTAAAGACTTATTGACCCCCCTTCGTACTTATAGCCCCTAATACTTTAATGAACTTTCAATAATTAGTTAACGTGTAAAGTTAATTAATATATGCATATACATAAATAGTTTAGATAATAAAAGACAAGTGAAAATGAAAATAATATATAAAAGATCATCTCAGATGGGGCCCTGATTTTTTAAACGCCTAGAAAAATCTTGGCATTTTTCAGCCAATTATGAGGAAGAAATTGAAATTGTTCTTTCTAGGATTCCTAAAAACTCAGAATGCTATCCTAACTCTTTAAGGGTTTAGAAGAAGGCCTTGCTTACCAAGACGCTCTCTCCAGTGCCTATTACGCAGTAAAAAAATAACTTCGACACTTCACAACAAGATCCACATTGTATCTGTTTAGTGTATGTGTATATACGTAGGAAAAAGGAAATTCCCACACAGTAAAGGACAAAAATAAGTAAATAAGTAAATATAAAAATATGTAAATAAATAATATTGTACTAAATAATTTCTTTCTCTTTTTTTCTTTTTTTCTATTTTAGCTTTCACGTTCGATGATTTAATAAGTTACACTTAATCACCAAGCGTGTAGTAAAGTAACATGATATCTGACCATATCACCAAGAATAAGGTATGATGTATTCGTAGGTTCAATCTTATGACATGAAATAGAGCGATAGTACTAATACACATTGCGGTTTGTAACGGTCCAGTCTGATTTGCCTTTTCTCCCACTGTAAAATACGTGCAACCCGTCGTACACAAGAAAACTGAAGAAAAGCGGTATCAGAGCTGAGGCGGTCTTCACATATACACGTAAATGTGTTAGGGCAATTCGGCGAAAACAAGACCATATAAGAAGCATGACGTCACGAGCGTAGGAAAATTATTGTTTACAATGCAAAATCGATAATTGCAAAGTTTTTTCTAATGAACAAATGCATTTTTCAGTCAATTTTTATGCGCTGATCTCGAATCTTATAGTCATTAAATATATATTTGTTAGTTTAATTTAATTTACAATTAAATGACGCTAGTAATTTTGCAACAAATAAATATATTGCAAATTCGAATATACAACAGCGATCGTAGCGCATTAAAACAGAGAAGCAAGAATTTGACACTTTGATAACTGATTTTTGACTGAATTATCGATAAATAAAAAATTTATAATTTATTTAAACAATTAAAATTGTGTTGCGAGATAGCGATTCGACTATATATATCTATAAAATTTATGATAACGATTGTTATCCATTTGTTGATTTTATGATGGCTAAAAGAGGAATTTACAAATTCGTTTTTTAATTATTATTCGAAAATGGATTTTTAAGTTAATCGTTTTTATTTTGAATAATGTTTATCACAAGCGATTTTTTTATATAAAAATTTTCCGTAGATTTATTGTAAATTCTATGTTATTTAAATATCTAGCTTATACCACTTATAATTTTAAAAGATTGATTTTTTAAATCACTAATTTTTGATTTCGATCGAGCCATTTTCCGACAAAACCTATACAAAGTTTATGCTAATATCAAAAATAGCGTTGTAGGGACTACCAAGCGTAGAAATGAGCCAATTTCGCAAGTATAAATTGGCTCGTCGCTGCGGCGAGAGGATTCACTATCCTACCTTGCTTAGTAGCAGGAGCATTGAACGAAATAAAGACTTATCTATTTCCTGAGACTGATTTCATTATTCAGTGGTTAGCCTGATAATTCCTTTTCCTTACAATAATCTAAACGCTTAACTCATAAGACTCTCTCTTATGAGAAAAAAGTAGCCTTAGACTATCTCCTCTCTGAAATTAATAATTGTCTAGAAATTAAATTGAATATTAGTTGCGGCGCTGTCGGGCTTCTCCTCGATAGATACAACAAATAATGAATTGTATTTTAAATAATTAACGGGGGAAATTATCTGAAAAATGGGAAATTTATATAAGAACAAATTCCCACGATGCAGAGCAAACCGCCGCTCCGTTAAACACGTATGATAGTACGTGTATTCGCCTTAACGTCAGATGATTTATCTTAGTTGTCTTCTGTTAAACGGAGTTGAACTCACCTTAAGTCACGTGTCTTGTGACACTCGTTGAGTTTTAAGTGTGAGCGACTTTACTCCTAATCTTCTTAATCCTCTAGATATAATTGGATTAAAACCTAAGCCTTTTTCAATTACTTAAGCTACTAGGAAAATTAAATTACGAAAATGGCGAATAAATTTTACAGACTTTAATTAATAAAAATTACTACAGTCTTTGTAGGGCCGAAAGACTAACGCATGCGAATAGGATTTTACAATTAGTTATATTCGGTGAGAAAGAGAGAGAGAGAAGATTCGAATTATACCGCGAACTAACGCTCGACGCGAATACAAAAAATAACGCTATCACGAATATACAAAATACCGAATGTATTTTGTATCGCTTAATATGACGAAAGGTGCACCTACCATGCGGTGCAATTACGGTGATCAGCCGTAATTGTTGTTGCAAAAAATCTCAACTGCCGCTGCCCCTTGATTATCAGCTGAACAGCTGAGGCGAAACTGCCTATTCAAAAGATCGCGCGCCCCCTCTCTCTCTTAACTGTTAGAACTAACGCGCGAGAAGCAGAATCGCGAACGGTTCGATTAATTAAATCGACTACCGTTGCAATGGCTTATCGAAACGGCGAATACTGTGTTCGCTATTCGATGATTATTGAAATATCAATAAGTATAGAGCATTTACGTGTCAACTTCTTGCTTACTCTTGGAAACGCGATTATAAATAAAACAATTAGAGTCCGAACTATTTACTTTACTAACGTAAGATAGAATCAAACATTACAGGTTATTGACCGAAAAGTGAGTGAGTATACGACTACTTCAAGTCATACTTGAGAGTTGTGTTATATTCTACTGATGTAACATGAAAACAAGAATAAATATCTTCCTTTGAGATTATCAAAGACTGAGCGGTAAAGGTATAATAACAAGCTGAAGACATCTCTTATAATTCAGTAAATTGGCAACATGTTTATTATTATTTTATTCATTTAAATAAGAACAGTCATTGATAAAATGTAATTATTATGCCTTTTGGAGTTTTATAATTTTATGAACAATTTGAGCTTTACAAAGAGTGAATTCTCAACGTCATTGAAATATTTTTATTATTTATAATATGTATTATAGCTTAAAAGAATCACAGAGAAAAAATTTGTTTAATTACCGTATTTCTACTTCATAAATTAATTGAGCGAATTTCTTGTAAAAATATTTTACTAATATAATAATACTAGTGCTTAAATAACTGTCATCGTTACTGAAACTAATCATTGGACCCGAGGTGAAAAATATTAAAGCAAGAAAAATCTTGTCATGTTTATTTTTATTACGATTACATGCACAAAAAAATTGCAAGCTCTCTTATGGTCTTCATGTATTGCTCTGTTGTAGTATCGTGATTAAGCTCGATAACTTTAAAGATGTTCCAATAAATTTGCAATTTTCTCTCTCTTTCTCCCTATTTTATCTGTATGATAGCATATGTATGGATACTCTCTGGTACTTTTTTACTAAAAATAATGAAGTAGTTATTTGACTTATAAGAACGATTAAATGATTATATCCTTCATACCATATATAATTTGTTTAGTGTATTGTTTGTAATTTTGACGTATTTACTTGTTATTTACATATTAATTAGAACTAATATTTCACAGGGCTTTATTCCCGGACTATTCGGTGTTTCTCATGGTGCTATACAATTCATGATTTATGAGCAAATGAAAATCAAATATAATATATATAGGAAGAAATCAATTACTAATAAATTAGTAAGTATGTTTTCGTATATATGTCTGTCATCAATTATTACATGTATTTCGTTGGTTTTATTTTATTTCGTTTTTGGGATACTCAATGGGGTCCTTAGATTCATCGGTGAAGAAGTGGTCAAGTGAGGCGGCAAAACGTCAGTGCGTGCGGCGCCGTAAAGTGAAGGGCCACGAAAATACCGGGTAAACAAGGGGAACAACAACAAAAAATGTTGACGCGTTCGTCTTCAAGTACCCGCGAAGAGAGCGAAAAAAGTAACTTCTCAGTCGCACTTCTCTCCCCAAGAGCCACCGAGAAAGTCCTTTCCCTAGCCGCTCGCGCACGTGAGCAAAATGAGTGTCGCTCTCTCTCTCATTCTCTCTCTCTCTCACGCTATCTCTTCAACTTGCCCTGTACGTCATCTGTCGAGAAAGAAAAACATATTATAATTATAGTATGATACAGGATAAAGCAGGTCGAGAGCGAGGAGAGAGACATAACGAGTAGTGGACGCTCTCGTTATAAAACTCACTGCATCAATCAATACTATAGGAAAAATTATCAAAATATTCACTTCATTATCTATTAGGATCGAATTTGTTAATGGATAATAATATTTTTTACATTATTAATGTATTTTTCGCGAGCAATCTCGATCAATTACCACCTTCTTGATCCAAGTAAAACTACGCGGATCTTTTGCGAAGCGAGAGTGTCGGTGAATTTTGAGCGGTTGAGTTGTCTTGGAGTAGGAAAAATAACCGATTGGATTATTCCACTTCAAACTTAACAATTTATTTGTACTACTATTTACAAAGGTTGACTAGTTAAAGGCAATTGAATTTAATAAAAAAGAGTTGAAAATAACGGTTATAAAAATGGAGCGATGAGGCACAGCACGCACTCACCGAACTCCAAATTCAAAAGTGAGGGTCAAACGAAGCGACGTTCGACTGCGCGGAAATGGGAGAAGCAAAACACGGTCCTCGCACTCCCGCGAGAGTGCGCGTGATAATTAGCGCGCGAATTCAAATGTGTAAATAAAATATAGACTCTTGCCTGGCGGCATCGGTCTCAACACCGCCCGCCTCGTTGTGAGAAACAACGACGGTAAAGAGAGTAACTGTTTCATTACATACTAAGTATCAAATTAAGAAATAATAAATATCAAATTAAAAAAAAATAATAAATCTTCAAGATTAAATAAATGGCAAGCAAATTCAGGAATAAGAGAGAGCAATTAGTCTTCGCTAGCGCTGGAAATTGAGTCGTTGGCGTCCGAGACGTCGTCACCGAGGCCGCCCGCCGTGGAGACATTGGGGCCGCCCGCCATGGGATTGTCCGGGAAGCCAGCGTCTAAAGCCTCGGTTTCCACCGAGAGGCGGATGAGCTTCACGAAGGGGCGATCCAATGTCGTTGTAGCGGTCTTGAGAGTCGCAACACGAGGGAGGCCATCTCGGCCAACATGTAGCTGAAGTACTCGAGCTATGGGCCACTTGGTAGCAGGAAGATTGATGTCTGTGATGAGCACGAGGTCACCTTCCTTCAGAGTTGAATTGCGGGTGAGCCACTTGGAGCGCAGCTGGTGCTGATGTATCACTTCCCGCTGCCAGCGGGACCAGAAGTGATTCCGCATCACTGTAGTCAACTCGTAGCGTGCGACACCTGCAATTTGACGAGAAATATCACAAGGCTCGGGGACAGCTGTGAGAGCCTTGCCGATGTGGAAATGTCCAGGAGTGAGCGCTGTCGAATCCTCGGGATTGTTGCTGAGAGGGCAGACAGGACGAGAGTTTAGGCAGGCCTCTATCTGCGTGGTGAGGGTGGAAAACTCCTCGAACGTCAGTGTGGCGTCGCCGAGGACTCGCTTCAAATGATGTTTGAAGGATTTGACTCCAGCTTCCTAGAGGCCGCCGAAGTAAGGAGCGCGTGGAGGGATGAACTCCCAACTGACACAGTCTGCTGCGAGGGCATCCTTGACCTCCTTTGAAAATGAGGAAGCTTCATCGAAGAGGCGAAGAAGCTCTGCACTGGCTCCCTGAAAAGTCGTTGCATTGTCGGAGTAGACAGTGTGTGGAATTCCCCGTCGTCCGGTGAAGCGAGAGAAGGCGTCGAGAAAGGTCCTCGTTGTCATGTCCGAAACAACCTCCAGATGAATTGCTCGGGTGGCGAAGCACACGAAAACGCAGACGTAGCCTTTGGTCGACTTTTGTCCTCGTCCCTTGCTTGTGCGCACCGGAAACGGGCCGGCATAGTCAAGGCCGCAGGTAGAAAATGGAGAAGACTGTTCTCCTCGACAGGCTGGAAGCGGAGCCATTTGTTGCTCTTCCACTCGGCCTTGGAATCGGATGCAGCGTACGCAGCGACGAACAAACTGCCGCACGGTGTTGCGCACTTGCGGGATCCAAAAGCGTCGACGGATGTAGCTGAGGACAAGTTGAGGTCCTCCGTGCATGGTGCGAAAATGGTCGTCGCGTATGATGAGAGTGGTGAGACGACTCTTCAAAGGGATGATTGGTGGATGAGCTTCGTCGTATGACAATCCAAAATTGTCCAGACGGCCGCCAAGGCGCAGAACTCCGTGCTCATCGATGAACGAACCGACGACTTTCGTGGAAGAGGCTGGTGCTTTCGTAAGCATTTGAGCTCGACGGCGTAAAACTCACCCTGAATTGCTCGAATGATAAAGCGAGTAGCGCTTCTCACTTCGTCGGCAGTCAAACCTCTACCAGGCTGATGATCCTTGTCAGGTAGCGCTTTGCGTTTCCTAATCGCAGGCCACCGTAGAACGTAGGCGTAGGCGTAGATGAGGACTTTGAGGCTGGAGAACCTGGTGATGTAGCTCTCGAAAGTCGTGTCTTGCTTGGCCGCATGAAGGACCACAGACTTCGGAGACTTTCGCTCGAGATCCGACGACGCCGACTCTGGTGTGGGATGCCATGAAGACCAGTCCTTGCAAAGCCAGGATGGTCCATTCCACCAGAGCGTGTGGGCTTGCAGCTGCTCCGGAGAAAGGCCTCGTGAGGCGTAGTCTGCTGGATTGTCCTCGGAGACGACGTGATGCCATGAGACATCAGGCAGCAGCGTTTGGATGTCACCAACTCGCGTGGCTACGAACGTTTTCCAATGGGAGGCGCGCTCGCGCAGCCAAGCGAGAGTGACAGTTGAGTCGCACCAGCAGAAAGTCCTGGCTGGTGGATGTAGAAGCTGCGGCGTGAGCGCAGCGATGAGACGAGCTAGCAGTTAAGCCCCGCATAACTCCAGCCGTGGGATGCTGACAGTTTTGATGGGCGATACCTTGCTCTTGGCGATGATGATGGATGACGACCACTGTTGATTTTCATCCTGGGTTACGAAGTACAGGACGGCTGCGTAGGCTTGCTCAGAGGCATCTGAAAACCCGTGAAGAAACCAGAGAGGTTTCGAGTTGCAGCCGAAGTACCTTGGAATTCGAATTGCTTCGATGTCTCGGAGTTGCTGGTGGAACGCTGTCCATTCGTCCAACAAATCGTCGATGAGAGTTTGATCCCAGTCGTATCCTTGAAGCCACAGCAGCTGGATCAAAATTTTCGCTCGGATGAGAATGGGTGCCAGCCAACCAACAAGGTCAAAGAGACGAGCGACGGTGGAGAGGAGACCGCGCTTCGTCGGTGGAGCCTCGGCAGCCAGTGATTGTACCCTAAAACAAAACTGGTCGAGCGAGGGTATCCATCGCAGGCCCAGCGTGGAGACAACATCATCAGCGGAAAAATCCAGCTCCTGCGTGTTGACGTCGTTGAGCGAGGTGAGGAGACGATGATCGTTGGCCGACCACTTATCCAGTTCCATTCCGGCAGATTTGAGGATGCCGATGAGCTGTGATCGGGAATTCAAAGCCTCCTCGATGGTGTTTGCACCGGCAAATGCGTCGTCCACATAGGTGTGGTTCTCGAGGATGGACGCACCCAGCGGAAACTTTTCTTTCTCGTCCTCGGCTAACTGTCGCAGCGCTCGATTGGCTTGGTAGGGAGCACAAGCCGTGCCGTACGTCACAGTGGTGAGACGGTAATGTTGAATGGCCTCTTCTATGGTGTCGCGCCAAACGATGCGGAGCCAATCGGTGTCCTCTGGATGGAACCGGAATTGGCGAAACATCTTCACGATGTCGGCGGAGAAAACGTAGCGATAATAACGCCAGCGTGTCATTATCACCGGAGTCTCCGTCTGTGTTTTGGGTCCAGCGTGTACCGTGTCGTTGAAGGAAACATCGTTCTCAGCTGGCTGTGAAGCGTTGAAGACGACCCGAATTTTCCCACTGCCGTCGGCCTTGAAGACAGCATGGTGTGGAATGTAGTACATGCGTGAAGAGTTGACGTCGTAAGTCGGCACGCGCTCCAGGTGCCCCAGCTCCTCGTACTCCCGCATGAAGTTGACGTAGGCCTGGCGCTCCGCGGGCTTGCGGTGGTAGCGCCTCTCGCTGCTCAGTAGCCGGGATCTAGCGATATTGAGGCTACCTGGAAATTCGGGTTCTTTTGAGAAAGGTATTCTGAGGACGTACCTGCCTGTCTCATCTCTGCTGTGAGTGCGCACAAAGTGTTCCTCGCACTCCTGTTCCTCAGCAGAGAGGGGTACCTTCATTGGAACCTCCTCGAGTTCCCAAAAGCGACGAATCTCGTCACGCAGTTGGCAGCAGCTCGTGGATGTGTGAAAACATCGCACGATGTGGTATGCCGATGAGGCAGCTGATGACGATGTGGCCGCTGTGGGTCCCGTCAGTACCCAGCCAAGAGCGGTATTTTGAGCAACCGGCTCGTCCTCAGCACCTCTCTTCAGACCGTCCAGGATGAGCAGGTTGTACACGTCACCTCCTAAAAGGCAGTCAGCACCTCCAGGCACGTAGTACTTAGGGTCCGCTAACTCCAACCCTGCGATGTGACTCCAGTCACCATACTGGATGGGCTCTGCTGGGAGCGATGTGGTGATCCGTGGTACCACCAGGGCAGTCAAGTGCAGCTTGAAGTCCTTTGAGCCATTGGACTTC